TCCATAGATTCAGAATAAAATATTTTGGGAAGATAAAATTAAAGATGAATATAACAAAATAGCAAGATATCAACAATATTTTACAAATGATACCATTTTAAGGTAATTTTTCGAAAAATTTTATCTTCGAATGTTTGTAAATAAAAGTCGATCTGAAAATACTAAAAACAACATTTTAGAGGATAACTGGACGAGCTCTATTCACCCATGCTAAAATACCTAGGAGAAAAGTTTTTGCTCAAATTTTGAGTTTCCAGCACCCGATGTCTAATTAAAAATCAACCCGAAGGATATTCACAAGCCAGTTTTTCGGAAATAAATGTTGAAAATGAATACAGACGAGTTTTATGTAAACGATAATATTTGCCAAAATAAATTTGATCTAATGTCGATTTGTGCACTGATTTCAAACACTAGACAATTCATTTTGCTCTCATATTAATCTATACTGTGAGAAACTGCTAAATACACATACTATTTCAATAACTTTGTATGGTCACGGCATTTAGCTCAATAATTGTAGTCTCTACTCCGACTTCGTTAACTCCTTTTTGTTCTTTGAATCATGTATTAAAAAAATGCAGAATTTTAAAGATTTTCAAAAACTAGATTCATTCTTTTGAGATGATATGATTCGACGAGGTAAGAGAAACAAATGACTAGAAAAAGGACAATCAATCAACATTGACTCTCTTACTTTGTGGAGATATAATCAACTACCAAAATTTATAATAGTGACAGAGACAGAAAAATTCTCAAAAATCCATTAATATGTGAAAACAAAAACCTTTTATTTTTTTAATTTTTATTGTTCAAGCACAAATATTGCAGGATTGTGATCCTCAACATTTTTACAGATACATTAGAAAATCAAATAGTTTAGATTCAGAAGTTTTACAATATGATCTTTTATTTAAATGAAAATAATCCAAGAAAACATTTAGCGATGGACAACTTCGGGGTAGTAATCTTGCAGAATCGTTCCTAAGAAAGATTAATAGATCGAAATATCGATTGCATAATCGATACTCAAATTATCTTCAATGATTAATCGTTTGACAAACAGATCGACAGTAATATCAGTCAGACTTCTTATACTTACGATATGGAGATAATGTTGCATCATAAGAACGTGTTGCAATTGTCGCTGTTGTTTCTGATAATGGTTGATCAGCTAAACCACGGAGAAATTCAATAAGAAAAAGAGATGCACGATGAAGTCGTAATAAAGTACGGGTAAAATTTCTTGGATTTGGTTTAATTAAATTATGTTCAGTTTCATATTGAATTGCTTGTTGTATGGTATCAAAATGTGGTGTACTTTTTTTGTCTTTATCAACAAATGATTGCAAAATTCCTAATTTGTCTACAACATCATCCGAAACAAATTTGAATATATAACCAAGTGCATCACAGAATCTATTTAGAAGGAATAAAGAAAAAAAAATTATGATTATATTTTTATTCATAATTTACTTTAATAATTCTCGATAGCCATCAATATAATCTTGTGTACCAATAGGTGATTTTGGGTTATCAGGTTCTCGTAATGAAACAACAAATCGATCATATACAGCATGAACATCAAATCCGTGTGATGAATCGCCACTTGTTCTATAATTTGCTTCAGCTACACCTTTTGATCGATGCTCGGCCATTTTAGCTATCGGTAAATTGTTTGAAAAACTACTTCGGTGTGAGGAGTGTACTTGATTATCGATAGAACAACGCGTGACTAATATATAGACACACAAAACTTATCATTAATTTTGGAAAAATGTCAATGAATATTAATAGAAATTAAGAATAAAGAAAAAACCGAAAGCACAGTGTCGCTTGATAAATTCGATCAAATATAATATCTTGTGCTTGTTATTGCGTATACATATTAGTAAACAGTCGAACGATAGGGGAAAGCGATAGGTAAAAAAATACAGAATAAGCAAATGCATTAGTCACATAATTTATGATGTAAACACACCGACTCAAATCAATATCAAATTAAAGAGTAATTAATGAATACCAATCAGGTGATTTCGATAGAGGACACTTGTTTTTCAACAAAAGTTAATACCAAGATTCAGATTTCTTTGGATATGGGTGTAGATGTGGTACTTTTTTACTTTTGTACTTGAATATCACAAGTACTAAGTATATTTTTTCCAGTATCTTTGTATTAGGATTAAAAAACTAACTTAATGCTTTCGTGTTATAATTAAAAAAAAGCTATAATTTAATGCTTAATTGGCATTAATATTGAATTAGTAGTAGCATAATATTAATACCTTTAGTTTCCAAAAATGGAAAAGAATAGTTCTGTTTTAGGAATTCTTTTCCCGAAACAGAAATATTGTGCACTGTTATGGGAATTATCGTCTCAAAAACAGAATACTTTGTCCTCGACTCTAGAAAAAAATTTTAGAATGAAATCATTTTGATCAATCTATTCGTGAAAAATTCCATAGAAAATAGATTGAACTGAGAAGCATAAATCATGCATTTAAGACTTTTAACTGAGCAAGAGCGCAAATCATTTATTTAACATGTGCTAATAATGTATAAAGCTACGACAGTGACGCTTTCGACTACCCGTGACAAACATTTATCCAATAAAATGAAATAAAAGAATAATCAAGGCTATGCATGTAATATTATGACACGAAGCAGGATGGATGTATGTATATAGCTGTATATCACAAATAACTACTCAAATACACACATCATGATAACTCATTACGAAAATTTACCTGATAAACTTCTTTTATTCGTTTGCCGTCATCTAACTTGACTCGAAGTGATGAATGCATTCTATTCACTGAACACTCGTTTCAGACGTACAATCTCTTACTATCGTTATCATATTCATTTATCTCCATATCTAACCTATGCTTAATTCAAAGAATATCGAGACAAATGGTTACCCATACTCAAACCTCAATCACTTCACATTCAGGATTCCATACACGATGCATTACTTCATCCACTGTTTGGCAAGATATTGAAGAAATCGAAAGAAGGAACTCATTTAGATCTGCTTATATTTAGAAAAATGTTTGTCATCACTCGACACACTTGTCTTATGGTTAGTCAAATCCAATTAAAATCCACCGCTACCTCTTTCACTCAAACGTCTTCGTATCCGTTTCAACAACGGCTACGACTATTGTTACAAGTCCATTAATCACTATTTTTTCAATGCATCTTTTCAGATCACACATCTACATATCACTGCCAATTATGTCAATGGTATTCGAGTATGGCAAGATGAGCACTGTCTCAATACTCTTCCGTCCATCGAACCTATCTATTTTCCTCTTCTTGCCAATGTTGATGTGCATGTTATGTTATGCAACGATATTGCGTGATTACTACCACGTTTAGTCAATGTCAAATACATCAAATTGGTAATAAGTAAACCATCAACAAAGATGACACAGATGTCAATATCAGCATTGAAACGCATTGAACTCGATCATATAATTCATTTTGAAATACATATCGGTAGTAATATGAATATCAACGAACAATCAGCTCCAAAGATATGCAATCTCAGTCGAAATATCTGAAAGTAAGCCTTATGCCCTCTATTTCACGCAATAACTCAACAAATCACTATATTTGAGCGTTGTGTGAGACAGTGATACTTTTTATGTAGATGTCATCCAAATATGAGAAAGCTAATTTTCATATTTTTGTCATTGTCACAAGATATGTAGAGCTGTTGTTTGTTGCGAATGAGAGAGCAAAAAAATAGAGAGTCTATTTTCCCAAGTAGTCCAACTCGACTTCTACAATCCGTTGAATAATAAAAAAATAATAATATCCTTGCACTCAATACCAGAGATTCAAGTTCGAATCCTCACAGACTTATCTCCAAGGACTTCTCAAAGTAAACCATATATATATATACATATATGAGCCGAAAATGCTGTAAGACAAGTCAGACTTGTTTTACAATTCTTTGAAATTGAAGAATGTGAAAAAATTGAAGTCTCTTTCGGTTGATTACATAACTCTGCTGTCTCTCGTTATTTAGTCCATTCAACTTATCTGAATGGTAATGTCTGGCGTCAAATATTTTTATCCTCCGCAAATAATTTGTCCATTGTTCGTGTGAGTCTTTCTTTGCCAATTGCATTTGATCATCATCGTCATTCAACGCTCTTTGCTGAATATATTCACTGGTTTCAAAACGTATTTTTAACAGTCACGGATCCCGACGGTATCTTTTATTGTTTATCCAACGATGTCGAACGTCAAATGTGACCATTATATTCATTTCAATCTCGTTGTCCTTTGACATCATTATGTTTCTCGCCTGAAGGACAATATTACTCATGGTTTGAACACTTAGACACTGATATTACTATATTTCGCATATGCAGCAATGCAGCTACAATTGATAATTATTTGCGTTCTATTCAGTTACTAGAGTTCATGCCAAATATTCGTACGATTGAGTTTTATCCAGACAAATTGATCAGAACACTGCGTTTATTCGATGCTCTATCGTTGCAAAGAGTTTTCGAAACAATCTCATTTAATAGAAAACTCATACGAATAAATATCAAAATATTTCGTGAAAACAATACAAGCAAAGAACTACTACGATCGTCCTATTTACGGCTTAAACAAAATTTACCTTATCTGGCGACATATGACTTCTTTGTCGTTTCGAAAATAGGTTCTGTGTATATTTGGTTATAGAATAAAAGAAAACTCTTTATATATTCTCCAATAAATACATATGTAACATAGATTACCTCTGTTTCGCGATAAGAATTCCTATACTTCAAGATCCATTGTCACTTGGTAAGACAATCGATTCAAGTTGAAAATTATTCGAATTCATCTCATTAGACACTTTTCTGTGGTTTGGAATTTGATCATGTAGCTGAGCTTGTAATTCTCTGGAAAGCAAGTTTTAACTTCAGAAAAAGCTTGACGAAATCTTCTTCAGAGTGAAATAAAGGCTTTAGCTGAATTTCGAAAGCATCTGTAACTTTCGTTTACATCGCATACGTTTACGACGGCTATAATGAGTCGAAATCATTGGAATTATCCGATGTCTCAAATTCAGATTTTTCGAATGATCATACCTCGTACATTCACCGATAGCTTCGATACAATCAATTATTCCATCTGCCACTGTGGCCCATAGAAGGCAATCGGACATGAGACGATCGGTTGACTTACTAGTACCATTCGATTGAAAAAAAGGTTCCTTTTTTCGGGCTATTTTTAATCCTTGGGAACAAAACTATTGAAGAAGTGACTATAACATAGTGAGTGTAAATTGATAGTTGAATTTCCTGTTTCCTCTCATATTCTCTGCCTTATGCTACACAGTGTTTCTTCTCATCATATAATAGAGGGTTGATGTATATGCATTATCTTCATTCACAGCCACGGTCACACTCATTCGCACCCTTATCAATGTGTGTTAATCTTTGCAAAGTAAAACACAATATCAGCCAGGGTGTTTTTTTTCTTTCTCGTCATTTGATTATAATGTTATGACTTATTCTTTCTTGGATTAATGCAATATGAAGCAAATCGTTTGTAACAGTACAGTAATGATTTATATGTTATTTGAGTGAATCAGTAAAGTTAATCGCATGTAGCATGTACAGGGTTGCCAAAAATGTTTTGCCTGGGAGGTACAACGCCAATGACAAATGATATCAACATTGAATTTTATACCAAATGAAAGCTCGTCGAAAATGAGATTTATTTATGCGAATCAATAAGGGCTATAAAGATTATTTGCTGTCAGATTTTGAAAATTTCTAGAAATTCATGAATCACAGGAACGACAAAATAATCTGTCAAAGGAAGGAGACCAATCTAGCTGAGATATAAAAACACTGAACATACCGAAATTTTTCATATTTTGTATGTCTTAATGAATTCTAAAAAAATAAACATAATTTTGCTACACTTATTAATTTTATAGCACAGCCAGTTTGGTCTTTCTCCTGCGACAGATCATTTTATCATGCCTGTGATTCATGAATTTCTAGGAATTTTCAAAATTTAACAACAAATAATCCTTATAGCCCTTATTGAGTCGTATAGATAAATCCCATTTTCGGCGAACTTTCCTTTGGTATAAAACTCAATGTTGATATCATTTGTTGTTGGAGTTGTGCCCCCCCCCCTCCTCTCCCTCGGGCAAGACATTTTTGGGAATCCTGTACATAGAATGCTCATTCAAATTATAGCCGAAAAAAATTATCGGTATAATTATCTTATCAGGGAAAATAATCTTGCTCGAATAACAATAATAAGCTCAGACTTGGGCAAGTCAAGTCAAGTCAAGTCAATTGACTTGATTTGATTTGTGACTTGGAAAATCGTTAACTTGCTCAGCTCTGAATAAGCTACATTATAGCTGCGAGAAGTGAAACTGTTGCGTCTATGACTATCTTATCAAAATTTTATTTTCGATCAGAGAATTATTTTCTCATCATCTCTTATCGTTTTTAAACGTATTGTGTTTGCAACAACAAAAATAATCGAAGTAGTTCGATTGTATAAAATGTCAAATCCTTCTGATGAACTAAGCAAAGTCAGTTGAACTGCTTATAAGCAGTGATCAAAAAAAAATTTTGAAACTACATTAAAAAATTCCAGAAGATGAAAACTTTATGAAGAG